TTCTAACTCTAGAAGAAAGACTCGTAACATAGATATGACATTCATTTACTAGGAGTGCAAGAGGATTGACAAGAGGGGCAAGGAACAAGCCATAGTTCAATATTTTAAGGAAGCCTTCACATTCTCGTTTGCCTATTTCACTTGACGTCGTTCCTCTTAAAAGATTGGATAGTACGTTGGCACACAAATGGGAGGCTAATTTTTCTTTGGATGAAATCAAGCAAGCAGTTTTCTCCTTGCCTAGAGATATAAGGCTTCCGAGCCATATGGGTTCCAAGTTGCTTTCTTCTAGGAATTTTGGGGCAGTTTTCTCCTTGCCTAGAGATATAAGGCTTCCGAGCCATATGGGTTCCAAGTTGCCTTCTTCTAGGAATTTTGGGACATTGTTAAGGGGCAACTTCTAGCATTCTTTCAAGAATTCCTTTTTGAAGCTTTGTCTCCAAGAAGAAATACTGGAAACACTCCAATCTTAGACACATCAAATTGTCAATTTCAACCTATAAAATTTTGTCCGAAGTATTAGCAAATAGGTTGAAAAAGGTGAACTCTTTAGTCGTTAAGGGACCTCAATCTGCTTTAATTAAGGGAAGACAAATAACAGATGGAATATTGGCGGCACAAGAAGTTATTCACTCAATAAGAAGTTTGGGCAATAAAGGAGAACTCCGTAAATTGGATTTCAAAAAGGCCTATGATATGGTTAAATGTGATTACCTGAATGATATAATGAAATTGATGGGCTTTCGTATCAGATGGATGAGATGGATTAAGAATTGTCTTTCCTCCACTAACTTCTCCATCTTGGTGGACGGTAAGGCGTGCAGCTACTTTCAAGCTACAAGATGCCTAAGATAGGGGGATCCACTATTACCCTTTCTCTTCACACCGGTGAGAGAATCTTTTAGCCAAATGATGAGAACAAATCTAATTGAAGGGTTGAAGGTCCAAGGATATGATAATCCTATTTCACACCTACCATATGCTGATGATATTTTGCGCTTAACCATGACCTTGTTGGAACAGGTGCAGAACATTCGGTTGTTCATGAAAGGTTATGAGCTGATTTCAGGAGCAAAAATCAATCTGTCAAAATAAAAAAATTATAGGCATCCGTTTTTCTGATAGTGAGTTATCAATTTGGGCAGAATGGATGGGTTGTGGGGTTAAAACTCTTGCATCAAAATATTTAAGAGTTTCCTTAGCAGATGGGTGATTGCCTAAGTCAGTTTGAGATCCAAGTTTAAATATAAACTAGATGGATGGAAGAGCATATATCTCTTCTTCGAACGAAGTATTACACTAATCAATTCCACCATGGCCAATATCCCTATTTATTTTCTCTTTTTATATTGGGCACCAATTTCAGTTCTTAAAAGATTATAGGCTATCATGCAGCAATTCATGTCGAGTGGTTCTACTGAAAACAAGAAATATTGTTTTGTTAGATGGGATAAGGTATGCCCTTTGTAGAAAAAGGGTGGTTTGGGTATTTGAAGATTATGACTTGTAAATGATGCCTTGCTCAATACATGGTGGTGGAGTAGATTTTAATTAGGGAAAATATCTTCGTACAACCTTCTTTTTAGTTTTTATTTCTCAACTAACCGAATATTTGAAAATATATCAGCTGTATAGAGATCTCATATAATATATTTTTTAACTCCCTAAACCAACTTTACTCTTTTTAATCACGTCTTTTAGCCCAAACAAAAGTAAACAAGACATCTTTTTCTATTCCATTCTTAACCCCTCCCCCCCCTTCCCTCTCTCTCTTCATGTGTTTGTAATACTGAGTTGAATGTATAAGTTGAGTTGGTTCATCGACTTCATTTTGCCTAACATTTACAAAATAAAACTCCATAAAACAACTGAATAAATAAAAAGAAATAAACTAGAAGAGAGAGAGAGAGAGAGAGCTTATACTTGGCTTTTAGCTCTGGCAAAATACTTACATAAGCTGCACCCAAACAAAGTTTCCAACCTGTGGATAAACTCAAAAGGGATTTGCCACAAAGTAGGTAATAACAATCTCTTACAATCCCAATACGTCAAAACACTTACTTATCACCTTGAATAGGCGTTTTCAAAACACTTACTTATCACCTTGAATAGGCGTTTTGTGAGATTCACCTCTAGAGTGCCCCTCTACATGTTCAACCAACCAATGCATGTAGAGGTACCCTCTATAACCTCTCAACATATCCCATCAAACAACCCAACACTCAATTAAACTCGGAAGTGAGAGACCACACATTTTTTATTGTAATCTTCAACCAAAATTATAAAGAGAATATATAGGTGAAATAATGTGATTTTACCACATTACTAAAAAAATACATGGACTTATTAATGACCTCACTATCTCGCCCTCACATTCTATAATGGTGTTATCAAGATTGGATCGACTATTTAATTGGTGAAGGCTTTGGTCCGGTTAATGTCGGTCCAACCACTGGTCGAATCAGGTGGATCATATTCAAAAAAGAAAAAAAAAAAAAATTTACAAATTCATAATATATTAAGATTTATAAATGCATAATATATCCAACTTCATTTAGTTAGTTGAATAGTTTTGATCGTTTTTGGATCAAGCCCCATTTTAACCTTAGAACAGACCGGCAAAGACAACAGTTGGCGGTCCAACCGAACAGATCACCTGTTCGGTCCAGTCTTAATATCTATGTATTGAAAACTATTTTATTTAAAAACTCCTCCTGTTGCAAGCCCTTTGAAAGTAGAGTGCCAAGCAAAAGCAACAAGACTTAAGAAAATGAGATATCCATCCAAACTTTTGAAGAAAAAGATGGATTCCTTTAAGAGTAAGAGTGTTGGGGAGGAAATATAAAGTCTAATGTTTCACTTAGAAAGTTCAAAAAAAATAAAAAGAAAAAAGTTTCACTTAGAAAGTAAGAATCGATAATGTCAAATGTGAGAAGTTGAACTTAAGGAGCATTTATTTGTTGGAAGATAAACATTCTTTGGAACAAAGAAGTTATTCTTTCCTCGGAAGTGAAATGTTATTTTATGGAAAGTTTAAAGAAGTAGAAAAAGAACCTGGGCTTAACTGATTAGCGTTTGATAATTTGCAACGCTACATCTTAGACTCAATTCCTACAAAAGATAGGGACCATCTCCCCATTGACTCATCTAAAAAAACCTGTGTTTGATAACTTGCTGTAATATTAAAAAGTTTTGAGTGCCTGTGTTTGATAACAAATATATATTAACAATATAAATATAAACATGTAATTTCTATGCTTCCCCTACAACATAAAACTTATATGCGTCCTCTTTTTCCCCTTTATCCAACCGTCCATTTTGAATGAAAGGCTAAGATTGCCCAATCACAATGTAACTTCTCTACACTATTTTATTTTTTATTTTTTTATATAAAATATGTTGACACCAAATTTTGGACATCCAATCCTCTATTAAATGCAAACTTATAAAAAATATAAAAACAATATTTTCAATAAAATTAAATGATTAAAATACCCTGAAAATTTCAAGGGGTATTTTGGTCATTATATTTTATCGAAAAATTATTTTTTTATAGGTGCGCCCCAATGTGAAGATGATACATACCAAATTTCATATTCATACAATTTGTATTAAAAAATTAAAAATAAAATACTCTGAAACATCAAATCTAGGATCAAACGGTGAGCGACTCACTTGATCAAAATTGGATGGCTGGATGGTAGGGGAAGCGTAGATCTTCTATGCTGTAGGAAAAGCATAAAAACCTTTCCTATAATATATTATATTATGTAACATAATATTATATATTTTTATTAATATATATTTGTATTATATGTAATATATAATATAATAGGATATATAATATATTATATAATATAATATAAAACTAATATAGTATAATATGATATATTATATTAATAATATTAATATTATGTATTATATTATAAATATATTATCTATTGATAATGTTATATAATATAGTATACTATAGAATAATATATTATTTATATAAAATATATTATTTAATAAATAAATAAAATATTATATAATATATATTATATTGTAAATAGTTGATAGTAAATAGTGATCACCAAGAGGAGTAATCAGCAAAAATGTTTGGATAGTTTGAGTCTTCCTGATCCTCAAACGTTCTCCTTTAAAAAGGGCAAAAAAATTATGGGAAATTTGAGTTCCCGTTACTTTACCTGTTCCTACGCACCATATTAGGAATGCTATTCTTGTAAAATAAATTCTTTCCCATGTAGCATGATAGGAACGTATATAATGAGAATATTTACTATAAGGTAGTCATAATTGATCTTAATCACTGAATGGGATATTGGGTAGCTACAATTATTTTATTGATCAAGTTTAAAGTCCAAATATTTTTTTTAATTTTATTAGTTATCAGATTTTATAACTTATGACTCCTTTAAGTTATCAGATTTCACAGCAGATGATTGTAATTAATTGACCTCTAAAAAGATAAATACAACCCCTTTACCTTTGAAAGTAACAAATTATCGGATATGGCTAAAAATTAAAATAGAGAATTATTAGTTTGACATGTGCGCTTGCGCTCTGAGCAAACACAAAAGGCATAAAAAGTGAGAATAATATATGGCCATGCTAACAGCAAACGGCCTACAAATGACACGAAGCATAATTCAAAACACCTGGACACCATATATATCACTTCATATTTTACTACTTAAATCGATGCTTCAAGTACCTGCCCTCCATCTCCTTTCGCCCGTCTCTTCCACAGAGAGAGAGAGAGAGAGAGAGAGATCGAACCCCTTTCTACTTCGTAGAGAGAGAAACTATAGCTCTTCTTCAACTACCCCAAAGAGAAATGGAGCCTCTTCCCAATTCCTAGAGAGAGATTGAGAGACTTAGAGAGGGATTAGCAATTTTCTCAAAATTCAAGGTACAGAGACGTTGGCACGATGGCTAGCTTACCAAGTCCCTCAGAGGGAGAGAGAGGGAAAGTTGTAGAGAGAGACAGAAAACCCTCCATGGGTACCGGCATCGGCTGGACAATCGCACTCGGCACCACCACTGCTGTCGCCGTTGCCTTGGCCATCGCAGCCCGCCCTCGAGATCCCACTTTCTCTCTCCACTCAATTTCGCTCTCCTCTCTCCACCTTCGCTTCCCCACCCCTCCCATCCCAGTCCTCGACGTTGAATTCACCCTCTCCATCTCCCTCACCAACCCCAACCTCAACTTCGCCCCCATCTCGTATTGGCCATCCTCAATATGCATATATTATGATGATACCCTTTTAGGCCAAGCCAAGGTCGAGGCATGCTCACAATCGGCTCGATCGGTACGAACCCTTCGGCTAATGGCCTCGCTCGACGGCCTCAAGCTCACCCATCACTTGGCTAGGCTCATGTGGGGCGTCATTAGGAGAGAGATGGAGTCAAAGGCAGTGGTTAAAATCGAAGGCAAGGCTAAATTGCTTATATGGGAGCACCCATTTGTTATGTATGTGGAGAGCAATGTTGTGGTGGACCCTCTCTTTCTCGATGTGCTTGATCAGGAGACCAAGTCCAGGCTACACCTTTCTTTCTCTACAAACAATGAGAAGGAGAACAAGAATAAGAATGTGAAGTGAAATGAAATGCTCTCTCTCTCTATTGCCAATTGAAAAAAAAAGGCTCAAAGGGCTTTTGGAAGGGGTGAGGAGCAATGTTAAAAAGTTTGAGTGCGAGATATTTCGGGTGTATTATTAGGGTTTATTATTATTATTATTATTATTATTATTATTATTATTATTATTATTATTATTATTATGGGGTTGGATGAGAATACACGCCCCGATCCCCTTTCTCGTATTACTAGGGTCTAGGTTAGCTTTTTTGCTAGTTATATTTGAAAACAATAGTATTTGAATTATATAAGTTTGTGGTCATGGGACTGCAATTGTGAATAATATTGTACAAATGAATAATATTGTGAATAATATTGTATAAATGAATAATATTGTGAATAGTATTGTTCAGATGAATAATACTGTGGATGATATTGTACAGTTGAATAGTACCCTACACGATCATATGAATAATACTTGCAAGATCTCAATCAATAATATGGTCCACTTAATATGGATTCACAACGCGTTAGTTGTGTTTAATTTCAATATGTAGGTTATAGTGCCAAAATGAAAAGTGCCAAAATGAAAAATAAAGTATAATGAATATCACAATGTTTGTGCAAGTCACTCTAATAATTTAAATAATAAATAGTAAATAATAAAATAATAAAAAATAAGAGACGGGATCAAAGTACTTATCCACAAATAAAGCTGTAGAGGCTCCGCTTATTTAATAAGACCGCTAGGCGTAGGTTGGTTTATGTAAACATGCGGCGTTACTTTACTACCACATGAAAATACCTAGGCGTAGGTTGGTTTATGTAAACATGCTGCGTTACTTTATTACCACATAAAATACGTTGTGTTATCACGTGCAAACGTATAATATTATGTAATTTTTAATAATAAAAAATTACAGCTTTTTTAATATAAATAGACAAATATTTTGTTCCTAATGAGTAATAAAAAAAGATGATTCATGTGCGTAAAAATATTCTGTCTAAGTTTCCTATAAATTACGGAATGTATTTGGGTTAAGCTCTCACATTTTGGCGTTATAAGTTTTCTGTTACATAGGAAATAAATAACAATAATCGCTCTTGTTTTGGTTCTTTCGATCTTACGAATTATTTTGACACCGAGATATGAGGAAGATATTCTGTAATCTTCATGCATTTTTCAGGTAACATATCTTTGTTACAATTATTATTTTATTCAATTTCATGAGGTAGATCAATGTTTCCAATTGATGTATATCTGTAGTTTATCGATTAGATGATATTTTTTTGTAAGAGAGATTTTTCATTTTAAAAAATATTAATTTTGTTGTGAGCAAAAAACTTATTCCTAATCGATGTTTATATAATACAGATTGGATGATAATTTTTTAGTGAGAGAAGAGCTTAAGATCTCTCCATTTAAAAGTCAAACATCACTTTTTTAACAAATTGTTATTTTTCTAGCCATTCCATTTGATGACTTCTTCTTTGATTCATATATGTTTGGAATTTTCATGTTAAAATTTAAATTTTCTAAAAAAACATACTTAATAAAATTTTCCATATTTTGTAAGTCTATTTTTTTCTTTAATTTCTTAAAAGGATATCTAATACGTTTGTTTTTACAATAATTTATTTCTAGATTTTAGTTCTTATTTGATGCTCAACAGCAACATGGCACATTTCTTAATCAATTTATGAATTTTCTAACAAGTACGTATTTTTACTTTTTAGTAAGAGAAATTGAGAAAAATTTTATTTTCTTATTTTAGCAGAAATTTATTTTAGTTACTGTTTTATATGATTATTATTGGTTTTTTTAAAAAAAAACTTATTCGTATTTATTATCAAATATTTCGTTTGTTTTTCAAGAACATGCCTCCTAGACTATAAGATCCTCGGTATCTTATTCAAACTTTTATCAAAGAATATAACATATTCTTGAAGTATATAACATGTTCATCAAATCTTTTTTGCAAACCCATATTTTTATTTTAAAAAATGGAAAATAAAAATGGGATTGTCTATAGACAAAAAAATATAAAAAATAAATTGTAGATGTTAAATGGGATTGTCTACTATTTATCTTTTATACATACTTGTCACAATCATTTCCATTCATTAGACATTAAATTGGATAGTTTGGGGTGAGTTACGAAGTCCGAGGAATATTTTTTGGAACTTCGTGTCTATTCAATGACACTCTTTCAACCACTCATTTTGAAATTTAAAGGACAACAATAATTGTGATCCCCTTGTACAAAAGATAAAGAAAAATATTTATATAAAGCTAAGATTCTAAACAATCAAATTTGAGCCTACTTGAAAAATTTCGCTAAAAGAGGTTGTTTTGATATCCAAATATCTTCAAATTGATCATCTTGACATCAACATGCATAGACATGAATAGATTTCAAGTTTTGGAAATAGTGTATTTTACAACGCATTTTTGGATCGTCAATTTTCAAAATCTTCAAGTTTTCATAAATCTGTCAATCTATACTATTTTTGAAGCTTTAAACTTTATAAATAAATATGAAAATATATATCTTAAGGGTATCACAAAGATTTCTAATATTGAAACCACATTTCACGACATTATTTGAAAGTAGGCTCTAATTTGATGGTTTAGAGCTTAGGCTCTATGCTAAAAGAAAGACCTATGTGATCTTTTACCGAGGAATATATTTTTTTTTTGGCAAAAGATCACTTACAGGTGGTCTTTATTATAGTAAGATAAATTTCAAAATAAAATCAATATAACAATAAAACCAAGATCTTAATAACTTGATGTCATTGAAACAACTATGCACTATGCTTGAGAACAAAATATAAGATTGCAAGAAACAAAATGAAGAGTGTCGGAGATTAACTCAATCGGGCTTATTACACCTATATCGAGTCACCACCATCCGATGGCGTAGGATCAACGATCTAGCTTCAATCTCGAACCGGGAAAGCAAATTTCGGCCAAGCCATACCAATGGAACATGGACCCCTTTGATTACAAACTCAAACCCTAGGTGAATTCTCTTAACAACCTAGTTTGAGAGGGATTGATTCTTTTTTTGCTAAACCCTAAAACTCTTAGCCGTAAATCCATATTTGAGAGATAAGAGAGAAGAACTCCATAACTTAACGCTTAGGTTCTTTCATAATGTGGGAAAGAGAGATCAAACATGAGAGAGATAAACTTTCTTAAGAGAGAGATAGAAAGATAAGGTGTAGAGATTGTTTGGTAGATACAATCCCTCTTTATAGGCTTTGAATAAGATTAGAGTTTCTTAGGGTTTTCTTTGGTTTGCCTCTTCTTCTGAGATTGAACATAGATCGTCGATCAAGGGTGACTTGTGGGGCGAGAGATCTGAATCATCCATTCCATAGATGGGCCGTCAACATTATGGAAGGTGCATGAACCATTATCCCCATTTCCTAAACCATTTTTTCATCAATATAAATTAAATAAATTAAATCTAATCAAGTATTGTGCATATCATAAAATAACACAAGTCTACTCAATCTTTCCACAAAATCTTTCAAAGATATATCAAATCAATATTTAAACAATATCTTCCAACCATATGGCCACATGCCATATCACCAAAAAAATAGGAAAGAGAATAAGGGCCGGGCGTGCCACTCAAGGGAGGCACTCATAGGCCCCATCTTCTAAAAATATGGCGGGTCCATGTGCACAATGGGCCCCCATGATATTTTTATATATTTAAAATTAATAAAAATATTTCAGAATATTATTTGAATATTTAAACAATTGTAAAATCCATATCTTTAATTTTATAAATCCAAAAATTAGAAATAAAATATCCAGGACATATTTATAATTTTAAAAATCCAAAAATTATAAATAAAATCCAAACATACGATCTATCGATATGCATGCCGTGTGATGACATGGATGAGGCTTTGGCCCCCATCTCTGTAGACCACCATCACACACAAGGGTCACATAGTTACTCGGCTCATTCATCCGGGCATATTCTCCGATCTCATCAAGTGTTAACCCATTAGAACCCTTATTGGTTTGTTCGTTATGCCCAGGTAGCATGGGTTTTTCCTAACCGACTGACTTAGATCGTCAAGCACAGTCCGGTATCTCCAAACATCGTTTACTTAGTATGGTCCATGAGGGATCATACTCCCACTGAGTTCATGTTCCACTATATTATTTCATTTTACAAGCACTCATAATGCCTTTAAAAGCCACATAAACCCAACATATCTCACTTGGCCTTTGAAAGCTTTACATTATCTCTTTCTCACTTTCTCTCATTCCCATCTCTCTCTCTCCCAATTACAATAACTCTCAAACATTTTTACTTATTCTCTCAATACATTAATCATGGTTTTCGCCATCAATCTTTTCACAAAAATATTATAAAGGCAACATATTTTTCTCTTTGCTGCTCGGATCTCATTCAAAAAATGGTCGTAGCTCATCTTTCACATCGCATCGTGAATCATGGACCTGTTGTCGTAAAAGACCATCACGTACCATCATCGCATGGGGTCGTATGTTCATGGGCTCAAAAGGGTTTTTCAAATAAGCTGCTCTCTTTTTGTAGCCATACAATCAGCACCAAACATTTGGGTTCCATGGGTAAACAACATTATAGTCTGTTGTTCTATTTGGCATGTCAAATACTATTAGGTGCTCCCACTGGAATATTTAGTTTATCTGGATCTCGATCTTTCTCAATCTCCCCTCATTCCTCAGGTGATAAAAACATGGTTTTATGTGCTTTGAGTTCTTATGGAATCGTGGCTCCTTTGACACGCATATCGTCACCGTGCTGACGCAGAAAATTCTTACTGCCTCACAACATACGAGGTGAAAGTCAAGTCGATTAAGAAATTTCTTAATCCATATGGCATCCTCAATCACCAAATAGCACGTCACGTACTCTGCCTTCATGGTGGATAATTTCGTTACATCTTGTTTCTTTGATTTTCAAAAAACTGCACCATCTCCAAGCATGAACACATATCCAGATGTAGATTTCGCATCATTTGGATATATGCGATAGCTTACACATGTATATCTGAATATCCAAGCAGCTAAAAAAAACGTAGGACTGTAGCAGCTTCAATTATTGCACATACAACATATACATTTTCAACATTCTTAAGCATATATCACGAGGTAGCATATCAAGTCTCATGTAATATGCAATTCAATACCCGTTGGTTTCACAATATACAAAAACCTTAATGAACTACAAATGTTCAACCATACTAGACATCTTGGTAGTAAATTCATAAAAACCAATTTATCTAATCAACACAACATGTGTTAGGGAAGCTCAACATGATGACATTCCTACAACATTCCCTTTAGTTCAAAGTCTTAGGTAATCAAGGATTCTAAATAACTACAAACATGAGTCAAAGCATATAGGTATTTTTTTTTCAAAAAAAACGCATGATAGTTTTTCTCATACTTTTATAAATAGTTTCAAGACATAATGTTTTTCTTTTTAATAAAAAAAATAGACTTGGTATATATCTACAAGCAATAGTTATATAATAGTATGACGGTTTAAAATGATTTCATAAAGACATAATAGACTTTGTAAGACTTTGTGGTTTTCTCAAAATCGTATTCATAGACTTAGGCTTTTTTCAAATCATCCAATTTAATTTTAAAATACATGCTTAGCTCTCATAATTTTACCGCATTCACCTTTAATTTCCTACCAAGTCAAGTTTATGGCCACAAAAACAAATCATATATACCATATAATTTTATCCAAAATAAAGTATGACTAAATAATGTCTATTAAAGCCTTGAAAAAATACTCCTTTTTGGCAATTATGGAGAATTTATCAAGAGATCATCATCACATACAACACATCATATTGTAGACATTATTGAGAGGATGGTCACTAAGACTGAGTTCCACTAGAACTCTCCCTTTGTGTTTGCATATTTGAATGAACGACACCCATCTCTCGTGTTTCATCGTTAGGGCTCAGAACCCTTGATCAAATCACATCTCCATGTGTATCACTATCTTAAGTAGTTCATACTTAAGCACAAAGTGGCACAAAAACACAAGGTATTCAAAACCGGCTCTTTCAAATTTGTTAGTACTTATCACTTAATGTTCATACACTTCATACATATTCATAAAACAATTAGCCAAAATATAACCAAAGCATATTAAACAAAATTATTGAGTCCTCTTTCACTATATGACTGTACCATGTAACGTGGGATAGATTTCATATATCAAAACCACGTAGTGTGGTACTTGGGCTTTCTTGATTCATCACTTTTACTTGTTTGACAATTTTTTTTTATCTCGGAAGTACATGCAATTTTTGGAGAATATATTGGTCATTGGTTTTACATGTCACAAAATGTCTATCTCTTCAGCATTTGGATTCTCCTGTCTTACACAGTGAAGAAAATCTCTTCTTCACCCCATTATTTCAAATATCACAATTTCGATTCTCCCACTGATCTTTAGCGTTTCTCTGCTTCCACCAAGTCTCTCTCTATATCCATTTATTTCGAAGAAACTAAGATGCTTTTATAGGTATTGTGTTTCTTCTTCTTTCTGCTATTTTCAGATCGAATACTCTTCACATAGAGTGTCTTATCTTGCCAACTTTGTATTACATATCTCTGAAGTTGTACTATAATAAATCATACTCATGGCACACTATAAAACCTTTTAAAATGAGTCTTAAAGGTCTTCATAATTGGGAATTCAAGGATGTGCCTTAATATGCCACTTCTTTTAATTTACTGCAGTATAGAACATGAGCATCTCATGATAAAAATACGACATCTGCCAACTCATAAAAAGTTTATCTTCGAATCCTTTTGAGTATTGAAATAGATTAAAAAATATAAAATAATGCTCAGTTCCATCCCTAAATCATACCATATAGTGAGTCTTAGTTTCAGTGACATTTAGGTCACAATGCAATTTTCTTAGCAGAAAATCAGATTGAGCACCTCTCAATAAAAACTTGTTTCTCTCAATTCTCAATGAATTTCTGCTTGAAATATATTGCGTTGAAAACAAGACTCAAAACCAAATCTTAATATCATAGTTTGAATCCCAAATCATACTTTTCTTTAGACAAATAAATAAGTAATATTCACGTCACAAAATAAGTCATACTGCAGAATTCCAGGATCAACAATATTTAGTAAAATTGTATTTTTTCTCTACCATCATGGAGTTTCCCTTTCAAACCAATTTTGTTTGAAATTAGACACATAATAATAGCACATATATTTCCACAAGCCTCATATGACTTTGTTAAGTAGGCTTGATAAATAAAGCTATTCATGTGTCAATGAAGAACGTACCAAATTGCAGAAAATTCAGGATGACTTCTCTTCAATCCAAAATTTTTATTCCTCTCTTCCCATAGATATTTCTTTCTCAAATAAATTTTATTACAAATTAGACTCAGAATGAAAGTCTAAAAACTTAGTTTGAACCATAAAACATTCTACTAAGAATAGAAATTAAATCTTAACTTCCAAGTCATGAAAATAATTTTTGTTGCAGAAGACAACACTTGTGCATTCTTCAATAAATTGATCATATCTTTCAAACCACAATGAATTTCTTGATGAAATGTTTTTTTTTTTAAATTAGACTCAATTTTATGAGTCACAATCTAATTTCAGCTAAAAATAAAATCATATGATTGGTAAAAAAAATCACGAAACTCAATGGACAGTTCTTGAATTTTGTATGGTTAGAACTGAAACCCTTCATTGTTGAGTCCATAACTCTCAATTCCCTTAGGATCTCCTACTGAAATTTTTTAGGCAAATCCTATTCTTAAAGACGTAATATATTATTGTAGTATGTAATAGAAAAATACCTCAATATCTTATTCATATCACTACTCCAAAACAGCCCAGAATACTTATTCTGCAGATTGCCTTTTCGGTGTTGGAGTATTTCAATAATTCTTAACTGTGGGTCTATTTCTTGACCATAAAGGTCATTAACTTTCTTATTTCTCATTCTCAAGCTTCATTTAAACTCAATAAAGAGAAAAGACAACTAATGTCATCAAGTATCAATAACTCTGATACTAATAAAAGAAAGACCTATATGATCGTTTACCGAGAAATACATTTTG